ACACAGTTCCCTCTGCCCTCTGACCGTAATGGGTGGATTCAGAAGATGCTCCATTCATTTCAATTATGACTGATAGGACTGAGGAATCAGAGATGGAGGTACCAGCCAAGAAAATAACCATTAGTAAAGAAAGACAGCTTTTTGCTTCTTACTCTTTTCTTGAACTTGTTAGGTTAGCAAGATAACAAGAAGGTAATACAATTAAATTTTTAAAACATAGTCACTTCCATTAAAATGTGTTCATATTTTATACTATGTGAATCTAGTAACTAAGTGAATTTTTCCCTTCTTCAACTAGTTGTTTTGTAACACATAAAAAAATACCTATATCAGAACAAAATCTACATTTACCAATTAGTATTACTTTGTCAGTCAAGGAGAAACAAATAATTGGAAATGCAAGTTATCTAGAAAGGAAGGTCAAATGGTCGTTTTACCCCAAATTATGTACAATCAGCCCCTCTATTTTCTTCAACGTTGCTAGAAGTAGTATAAAGTGTGTTATTTCAAAATAAATTATATTTCCCATAGTAACACACATGTATTTAGTTAGTACATTCTCTGCCAAGGATCTGACATTAAAAATCATAGATACAACAAAAAAAAAAAACCCTTCATAAATGTAAAGAACTGTAGCTATGAACCGGGATAATAACTTAAAATGTAAAAAATCAAAGCTTATAATTTTAAGAGGCATTAAAGTATTGTAAACATTGATTGCACAGGGGGTACTGATCCATAAAATATTTATAACAGTCACAAAAGTACAATTATACCGTATCATAAATTTTACTGAAAGTGAGTGTGTTAGTTATAATAATCATAAACATTTAAAGAGTCTTGTGGCTTTCTTAGAATTTAGAAGCATCCCTTTTTAGTAGGAAGGAAGGAAGGTAATTAGATGGCCTAAATCCCTTAAATAAGTTATGCAAAGAAGGCCAAACTGGTGCCTCTTCCCCACCCCCTCAATTCAATTCCCCTGTAGAACTGGTGGGTCCTCCACTTCTACCCTCGGCCTTATAGTGGCCCCAAGCCTGTGATCAGGAGCTTCTTGTGTGTTTGCTGTCGATGTTGCGTCTGTGATTAAAACTGAGGTTTCAATGCAAGAGGTTTCTCAAGACTTCTGCACTTCGCCCTTTCCTATCTTCTTCACTTCTTTAAAACTATAGGAACTGTTTTGGCTTCAGAGAAAATGCAAAGGAGAAAAAAAATATGCTGAGTCACTGAATTTGACACCTTGTTGACAGCTATCTGAGCATTTCACCCCATTAGGAAAGCATAAAAACAATCACCAGGTCTTTGTCATCGCCTTTCAGAGAAGAAACCTCAACAGCTTCCAAGGGAATTGCTAGGACAGGCACCAACTGGGCAGGCTGCCTGTGGTTCCATGTTGATAGAGCCACTTTCTCCACTTCTCTACCCACAGGCTCATCTCCAAGAAGAGATGCCGAGATCCAGGGGCATAATTGAGTGGTTGGTTAATTAATTGAGTCTAGTGGCCTTAGGACCCTATATTTTTGCTCCAACCACTTGTATATTTCAATACGCCAGAACATATGTGTTATTATTTACTTTTAAAGGTATGTTTTTGGCCTCCTGAAGGCAGCAACCTCAAATGAAAGCACAGCCTGCAAGAAGAATATAAAACCAGTTGACTTGCACAATGGCTGTTGCTTTTGACCCCTGATTTCATCTTGATGGAAAGTAAATGTTCCCCGTTCAGGGATAGAGTAAGCACAATTGTAGAGTTTATCAAACTTATCCTCAGGGCTCCTGACTCTCTCTGCATATCTTTCCCTCCCCCTCAGCAGCACCCTCCTTGTCCTACTGGGTTTCTGATTCCCTCATATTCTGGCTACAGGGCCCCTTACTAATCTTGCACTCATGTCCTTTATTCACCCTAAAGAATAAATAACACTTTGAAATATTTATAGATAAATTAAATAATTAATGCACTTTAGCATTCAATTGCTTTAGCAGTGAAATTTAATATTCTAAATCAGTTGTTGAGTACAAGAAGCAAGTAGAACATAAAATTTCTCACTCTATCTGTAGGAAGGTTGACCCTGCATGTATCTGTCAAATGCCCGAGTCGTCTTGTACGAAAATGTTGCATCCAGCATTCTATAAAATTTAACTTACAGAAAGTAGATCATCACAATGCCTTTTTCAGGCCCAAAGGATCATTTTGGGGTCAAAGAATTTATATCATATAGTATAAAAATACACATACTAAAATATCAGATAGCAGTCCCTTGATCAATAAAACCAATCAGTTGTATCTGCATAGATCAAATAAGTATCCTAAATATCACATTTCCCATGAAGTCTATGAGAAGCTTTAATTTTACAATAGTAATATTATTATTTTTATATCTGTATTTATATATTTATATCTATCTCTCTTTCTCTCTCTATTTTTTGGTGAGGAAGATTGGCCCTGAGCTAACATCTGTTGCCAATTTTCCTCTTTTTGCTTGAGGAAGATTGTCACTGAGCTAACATCTATGCCAATCTTCTTCTATTTTATGTGGGATGCCACCACAGTGTGGCTTGACAAGTGATGCTAGATCCATGCCCAGGATACAACCTGTGAACCCTGGGCTGCCGAAGTGGAGCACATGGACATAACCACTATGCCACTGGGTCAGCCCCTTATTTATAGTTTAATGCAAACTTTTAGTAATATTCTTGCATCTTATTCTCAACATGTTAAAAATCAAATCCATAATATTCTTTAAATTTAACCCTCATCCAGGTCATCTGATTTCTCTTAGTGGGCTACAGACTCTTCTTCATTTAGATTTGAAGCCCAAGAGTCATCTTTAACTTACCCCAAGCTATCTCCCACACTGATGGCAAATTAATCTTTCAAACGTGTAATTCCTGTCATGTCAATTCCTTGCTAGAAAAAAAGAGGGAAAACAAGCCAATACTCTCCATTACATGTTAAATTAAGTACTAATTCTTTTTTCTGTGGTTTAACACCGTCCAAGATAGGCATTAGATGTCATAAATACCTTTAATTTGCAAAGCTCTGTATTTTTGATATTATGAATTATAATTCTTATTAGCTAATATTTAATGTCTATTTACCAAATATTAGGCACTGTCCTTAGACTTCACGTAAATTATCTTAGATAACCTCAGGATAATTCTATTAGGTGGATACTATTATGTCTTTATTCCTAAAATGAGTAAACCTAAATCACCAAGTTAGGTAGCAGATGAAGAGAACCCATTTCAGCAAAGGCTGTCATGTGTCTGGAGTAACAGAGACAGCCTACTGAACAGCAGTGATTCAACTCTGTGTCTTGTGACTCCAAGGCTAATGGCACTAATAATTCCCTTGCATCTCTCCCTTAAGCCAGGTATAAATATTAATTCCAAATGGAATGGATGTTGTCATTCTCTAGGGGAATGAGGAAGGCAAGGTCACAGAAATCCTTATTCCCTATTTTCTCTAAATCATGACATAGTAAAACATTCCTGTTTGTAGCTACTTTGTCTATTTCTTTGGTGACCATATCTAGATTTTCCCAAACATTCTGATCTCAAACTTTCTGCCCTTCATAATCAGAGGCATGGTTTAGTGGAAATGTACCAGAAAACATTGTTGATAAAAACTTTAAAGCCAGAGGTTGACATAATGTTGTAAAGATCATGATGAAAAGATGTTAGAGGAAGCTGACTGAGGAAACTCTGAAATCCTCAGACAGGTGTTGCATTGTGGCATGGGCTCTGCCACAGAGCAAAAGTGAAGGCCCCTCCCCTTTGTCCCATGATTTCAGAACCTGACCATACATCCGAAGTTGTGGCCTTATGCAAGGCCAGTGTACCCTACAACCAAAAGCTTAGGAGAAGTAGAGCCCAAGGATTCTTTCAAATGGCCAGACAATTGGAGTGAACGGGAGCAAGTGAAGTATCCTCTCTCCTCTGTCTTTTGTAAGCTCATCTCTTGAATGCAAAGAACCAATGTTTGATAAATCTTGTGATTATAAAGCTTTGCCCAGAGCGGCCACATTTATTTTAGGAGATGAAATCTAATTAGCTCTTATGATATTAAACCCAAACATAAATGGCATTCTTTAACATATGTGCTCAATGAATCTACTATCGATAAGATCAAATAAAAAATCATTGAGAGGGCTGGCCCCGTGGCCGAGTGGTTAAGTTCGCACATTCCGCTGCAGGCGGCCCAGTGTTTCGTTGGTTCGAATCCTGGGCGTGGACATGGCACTGCTCATCAAACCACGCTGAGGCAGCATCCCACATGCCACAACTAGAAGGACCCACAACGAAGAATATACAACTATGTACCAGGGGCACTTTGGGGAGAAAAAGGAAAAAAAATAAAATCTTAAAAAAAGCAAAATTACCTCCATTAAAAAAAAATCATTGACATTTCAATTTTCTCTGAGAATCCGTTAAAATAAAATTATGCTCACAGAGTGTAAGAATGTTTAAAATATCCCTCATTACTGCTGTGAGAGATTCAATAATACTTGGTTAATAAGTAGAAAATTATTTCAAAATGCTCATAAACTTTTAATTTCAAAAAGTAGTCCAATGAAAACGTCTTGATACTGAAGACCTGCTCATGTATTTGGCATTAAAAAAAAAGAGGAGAAAAATCCATGAACTGGATTGTTCATTAAATGCTGAGTAACACACTGAGATGACAATTTTGTGGTGACTTTCGAAAACTCCAGAGAGCAAAGGTTTGTCTCTTTACAATCAAGAGATTGTAATATCAAAGCAGAGTCTCCAGGGGCTGAAAATGTTCATGATTTTTCCTCTGCAATATGTTCCCATAAAGAAACCAACTGAGTAAAATTATATAAGCTTAGACTACAGCTTTTGCTTTTGTAAATAATAAGTAAAATAAATACACAATGCCAATTAAGAAATGAAACATGTGGCTTTTTTAGGCTTTTTATCTAGGCTGCTGGTTAGCTTCTCCAAAGTGAGTAGGTACTAATGAGCTTTCCTTTCCACAGGGAGATAAAGAAGCTGAATTAGGGCTTCCATTTTCCCCACTTTGTGATCGGAAGTCAACGATGGTGGCCCAGTCACAAATAGGTAATACTGAAGATGGGTGGTCATGGAGAGTGGGTGTGTGCTTGTCAGTTATCGAAGGGATCCACCATGTTGTTCAAAGGGGCAACATCTATGAAAACTTCACTCCATATTCCTGATAAATTCGATCTTTAAGACTGATCCATGTGGTGGTGAATGATAAGAATTTTGAAACATTCTCAAAAAATGAATTCAACAAAGCAGTATTAGTACATGTAATTGTTAATCTGCTTGTAATCCTTTCACAAAGTGGAGGGCTTTCTTCTTGTGCAAGAGATGACATTTTTTGATGTTTTGTTGCTGATTGTTTTCTGTAATTTAATCCTTTGTATACAAGACAATTCAATGAAACTATTAATACATCTGTTCTGTTATCACTGTTTGCATAATATGCTAGCTCATATTCTTTTGGGAAAAAATTCTTGATACCAGTAGATAAGCCAACAATAGGAGATTTGTAAAATGATGTTGCCCTCAACCATATTCATTCTTTTCACTTGTATTTGTGTTGGGGACTTCAAGTTCAGCCTATTATTAAAACATCATTGCTATGCTGCGTGGTTCAAATATTTGTAATAGTCATTCCCTGAGCCAGCATCTTCATTTCTCCACTATCTGATCGGTAAACATAGGATGGCCACCTTTCTTCTCTACTTGCTCTGGTACCACCTCCCACAGAGTGACGGTCAGCTGTCAGAAAGCTCTCACCTTTCCTCCTTCCCACCCAAGTTCCAAGAGCTGTGTTTCTAGATTCCATATCATCATTTAGTGGGTTTGAATGTGGCAGGCTAAGGACCTCCCCTGGCAAGTTGGGAAGAAGGGACGTTTCTGAGGCTTGTTGCTGTGATGTAAATTCTTGCCGAATTAGTAGAGATGATGACTCATTTGACAGTCTCCACACCCCAGGCATTTAAAACTATAGACAAAACTTGAAATAACACCCTGGGTGGCCGGTTAACATTGCTTTGACTTGAAGGGATCAATTATAACACAAAACTATTGAAGTTTTTTTGAATTAAAGATGTGCCTTAATGTATGCTTTGACGAATCCAGTAACAGGAAATGTGAATTACTGAACCCAAATGCCTGATGGATGGGATACTCTTCAAATGTGGATATTTCCCAGGACACTATCACTTAAAAAGCCGTCCCCTATTTAGTCTCTTATATTCAGATGGCCATCCATCACTCGCAGATGTGTTCAAGGCAAAAAGCACCTCTCGTGGGACCTGGGGTGTCGAACGTACTCAGAGCTCAGCATAGGCTGCCTCCTTCTCCACCTAAACACGTGGGGTAAATCCTCCCTGGGGGACAGTGCCCCATTCTCTCTGTGTGTCATTTTCTATCTTGAGGAGTACTTTAAATGCGAAAGGCTTTATTCCATCTTGACATCTCAGAGTGGTGGGATTGATGCTGTCTCCCAAAGATGTTACTGTTCTCCTCGCTGATTTGACAGAATACGCCCACATGCTGCGAACTAACACTTCACATCCAGAGAATAATAAACAGCAATTTGAAATATTAACACACTGGCGGAAAGCTCTGACTGATATAATATGAGAAAAAAAAAAACAGTGGTTGCCTTTCCTTGGTCTGAGAAAAAATGTCAATTATTTAATTTCTTTGGGGCTTAGATATTATTTCTTGTTGGTCAATAATAAAATTCAACAAGCAAGTGAAGGCCTTTCAGAAGCAGTAGTGATCTCTCTCACTGACAGAGGAAGATAGATTCACTCTGGTTAGATCTGAAATTATTGTTAGTAATAATAAGAGGCTGAAAATTAAATAGGAAACCTAATATACTTGAGTTAGCAGACTTAAATGGTATCACTTCCACTGCCTGAGAGATTATTTTATAGAGCAGCTAAACTCTCTCTAAAAATTGTGTTATTGGATTAAAAATAATTGCAAGTGGTAGGCTGAACAAATATTGTAGTTGATACTTGCTATCAGGAGCATCAGACTCTTCATTATTACTAATTTTAGAATACAGGATATTGTAACACTTGAATCTATTTTCTTGCTTTTGTAGGTTTCATTGATTTCATTGTAGAGCCAACGTTTTCTCTTCTGACAGACTCAACAGAGAAAATTATTATTCCTCTTATAGAGGAAGACTCAAAAACTGAAAATCCTTCCTATGGAGCAAGCAGGTTTGATACTGTCTTTTTTGCATCATTTTCCTTTTACTTATTGTTTCTTAGATCTAAGCAGGAGATTCTTAGAAGAATTATTGGGTAGTATTGCCACCTAGTGGCTGTATATTATGTTGCATGCATGTGCCTTTGAAATTAAGAATTTATCGGCTACAAAACATATCAAAGTACTAAGGAGTATAACAGAACAGTATTCCAAATTCAGGAGAATAAAGTGATTTGAATTTTCACGGAGGATGTAGGTATTGTGTCCTGGATATAGTAGTAACGTGTCTGGTAGTGGTGGGCAGTTGGGAGCGGGACATTGTGCTGCTTTGCTTACAAACCAATCAATCACAACCCACTTGCGTAGCTAGAAAGATGCCTGCATCAGAGTGAGCCTTTCAGGTGACATGAATATGGCAGTTCTGCATAACATGTGACAGTAAAGTCCATGACATGTACAACGTACATGCAATTTTTCAAACTAGATCTTTTGCATTGATAAATCTGTTAAGGGATATTGTTTAAAACTTCCAGTTGCAGAAAAATCATGCTGCATTCTTGTCCATCTGAACACACAACTTTTCCTAGTAGCACACCAAATAAATGTTGCCTCAGTGAGGAAACTGAGGGAACGCTCTGCCTGAGAAAGATCCAGGTTGGTCTGGAGATTCAATGGAGGAGGAAAGGGCAAGGCCATTACCCACTTTGGCCTCTAGAATCACGATGCCCCTTTTGTGATGTTCACCAATGGCCTTGCCACTAAGTCAGCTCACCTCAATGTTCTGCTGCTCTAATCAGGCCTCCTGCCTCCCCCGTGTAATACATGTGGGCCCCGACCTGCTGCCCTGGGAGTCCCTGACAGACCCAGCGGTCCTGGCCCTCTCCACGAAGGGAGGAACATCGACACGTGCTCAAAACTGGCCTGAGCACCCGCCCTCCTGCTTCTCCAGTTGGTTTTGTAAAGTGTTTCAAGCTTTGCTCCCTCATCCCACACCCCAAACTTGGTATTTTCTGGTGTCTTTGGTTACTGTTGGCTGACGTACCTTTATGGGATGACACGTTGCTGATTTGTTTAGACGATCAAATATAAAAGGCACCATGAACGATGGAACCTACTCCCCAGACTACTCCCTGGCATGCGTGGACCTGAAGAGCTTCAAAAACAACCTGGTGGACATCATCCAGCAGAACAAAGAGAGGTGGAAAGAGTTAGCTGCACAAGGTACCGTTCTTTATGAAGCCTTGTTTCCATCTCTCTCTGTCTGAACTCCTCCTCTGAGATTCTGGGGCTATTTTCTCCCCTAAATTTCTTCCTATGTAAAATATGCAAGCCCTTGGAGACATTTGGAATTTGACTACCCTTTGCTTATTCATAAGCAAGTCGATTAATGTGTTAGATAAAAAGAGATTCTGCTGCAGAAGCATGTCTGTGGATGGCAGTGAAGTGGATATGAAGGATGGGACGATAAAATGGCGACAAAACTTTCTGTGGCACAGCAACCTCGTATCCATTTCTAGAGGTGCTTTTGAGCCAGTGTTTCAGGCTTTGCCAGTGGCTTTTGTGCTGAGTTAGGAATATCACGCTCTGTGCCAGAGATTTGGGTGTCTGCTGTTTTCAGTTTTACTGAGTTACTTCTTTGGCTGACAGTTTCACTCATGAGTTGGAAAAATCATTTGTAATCTGCCACAAAAGAAAACAAATGAGAAGCTGGCTCTAGTTATTTCTGACACATTTTCTGATCCACATTAATTAGTCCATTTGGTTTATAGGATAGGAGTTAGTATCAATCACTATTTTTCGTGCAGGAAATTAGCTTTCATATTCCAGATCTGGCCCCTGCCTCCTCTCATACTCCCTCCCACAGCCCTGTCTCTCTCACTCTCTATATGCCCTGCACAGCGGCCTTCTGGCAGGTTCTTACAATACTCCAGGGCCTTTGCAATGACTGTTTCTTCAGCCAGGAATTCTCCTCTTGGAGCTCTCTGCAAGGCTGATTCCTTCTTGGCTGGCAGATCTTTCCAGATAAGGAAACTGAGGCAGAGGAAAGTTATGTGACTTGCTCCAAATTCCACAACTAGTAAGTGAAGGAGGCAGAACTCATTCTTTCTCTCCAAATGCTGTGCCCGAAAACCCCATGCGAGGCAGCCCTGCTAAGAGGCCCTCCTTGACCACTAACAGTAAGGTTATATCCTCTGTCCTATTTTTCCCTATTAGAGCCCAGTTTAGTCACTTCAAAGTGAAAGCGCAAGGCTGTAATCAATGGTATTTATTTACTCCTTTCCTTATTTATCATCTGTCTTCCATGTGGGAATGTATGGTCCACAGAAGTCAGGACACGGTCTACTGTGTTTTCCTGTGTATCCTCAGCTCCTAGCACAGGGGGCATATAATAGACACTCAGTAAATGTTTGTCTGATTAAATAGTTAATTAATCCTGGATGGTGTCACATTATCCCTCCAGCTGTGCCATTAGAAAATAAAAGAAATACCAATCTAATGCCTTCATCTGACTCTGTAACTCACGTTTACAATGCTCTATACAGCCATGATGAGGGCCGCTTCCTGGATGCATAACCTGTGTGGCCACACAGGTCCCTACACTCAGAACGGCCCTGTGCTTAATCATCTTGAAATGCTTAATAATCTTTGAGCCGGAGGCCTCCTTTTATTTTGTACTGCTCCCTGCAGTTATGTAGCCAGTCCTGGCCATGGCACAGGGTCTTTGTAATATGACATTATTGTCACTCGATAAAGAACATAACACAATACGAGACCCAGATGACTGTGCTAAAATATTGTCAAACGCATCTAACTGGAGACTTCAAGTGTTGAGAATTACCCCTCCAGATGGACAAGTTCTACTCAAGATACTGACCCTGAAGCATTATAAGATATAAATCACTAGACTATGAGCTCTTTGGAAACAGGAACAGTATCTATCTTATTGTCATTATTTTCTCAGAGCTAGCATGTCCCTAGTACATTATAGGTGCTTTGAAATTATTTACTGAATGTAGTTTTGAATGAATAAATAAATACTTAAATTCAAGTTTGAATATATTTATTCAGAAAGGAAAATAAATATATAAGATTCTCAGCAATGAAAGGAAGAAAGGAGAGAAACAAGACTTCTGAAGTCCCTCTATGTACCAGACATTTTACATATAATTTCCTATTTCCTCCTACACAACCATCTGAAGTAGAAATTATTACCCTCATTTTATACATATGGAAATTGAGGACCACACAGCTTCTCAGGACTAGAGTCTACACTGTTCTGATTCTTTACCCGAGGTTTTTTTCACTGTCCCCTGCTACCTCCTATTATATTGTCCTGTCTCTTTCAAGAAAGTTTGAAAAAATTGGGTTGAAGTATTTATCTTCAGTGAATCCACAGAATTCAATTGACTAGAACACACTCTCCTCTAAGAAAAATTTTAACTAAAGTAAACAACAGCAAACCCCAAACATCAACCCATCACCTGGAACCTGTTTGTCATAAACTTGTGAAGGAAAATCCTCTGTCAGAAGTGGATTAGGGACTGCAATTGCTCCCCCTCTCATCAGCTTTCTGGCACCATGCTCTATTGAATATTTTGTTGGGCACAGACAGTAAATTTTACATCCACATAACGTTCTCAATTTGCATTTCTGTAATCGAGTAATAGCTCAGTCCTACGGTTAGAAAATGTAGAACCAAAATGTGCACACGAGCAGTGTGGCTGTGAGCAAATTAAAACCATAGAGCATTTTGATAAGATAATTCTCAAGGGCCAGCCAAGTACACATATTTTTACTAGAGCAAATAATGCCCAATTTTCTTTATAAAATTACATACTTGGTTTTTATTTCCAAAGCAATGGTAAACCAGATAAAGAAATATTACATGGTAAAAACATCTGAAAACGCTGGGTGAAATATTACTGGCAAGAAATTGACACCCTCAGAACCTGTCCAAATAAAGATAAAGCAGAAATTCAGAGAGCTAAGGAAACTTTGGTGCTAGAATCTCTCCCGAGGGTGACTGCTTAGTTGTGTTGGAGTCGTGGGTTTGCAGACTGAATTTACCACCACATTGGGTTTATGCCAGAAGTGTAAATTTGATTCTACATTTGAAAATTCTATTAATACAACTCACAATATCAATGATAAAAAGAGAAAAATTTAAGATTTCGAGAGATGCAGAAAGAACATTCAAGAAAATTCAATATCCATTCATGTTAAAAATTCTTGAAATTCAGAGGAACATTTTTTCTTTTTTGGTGAGGAAGATTGTCACTGAGCTAACATCTGTGCCAATCTTCCTCTATTTTGTATGTGGGATGCTGCCACATCATGGCTTGATGAGCTGTGTATAGGTCTGCGCCTGGGTTCCGAACCTGTGAACCCCAGGCAGCCAAAGTGGAGTGAACGAACTTAACCACTACCCAACCAGGCTGGGCCCCAGAGCAACATTTTTAATCTACTGTTTCTGTTTTCCCACTTTTCTTGCCTTTATTTTTACTGCTTAAGTTGGCTTTTTTTCCCATTACAATTTATTTCCTTTATAGTTTAAAATATTTACACTCTAGTCCTATTATTTTCATGATTGCTTAGAAAAATTTAAATGCATAATCCATAGTAGAGAAAGTGAAGTTAATAACTTTACCTTTCCACCAGATAACACAAAAACTTTACAAAACTGTCTCTGATATTGAAAAACCATTTAAAAAATACAGACTTTGTATTTAAGAATTAAAATTTAAAACACGTTGAAATTCAAGAATATGAGGATGACTGATTTTAACAATGTTTTGAAAAGTCAAGCTAGTGCAAGAAGATTCTCAAGGTGTCTTCCGTGCATGCATCATTCCTCAGTCAGCTAGGGATGTGTGAAGAGCTATCTCCACCCTTCCATGGCCCTCTAATTGCTAGGATTTTTCTGTTAAATCCTGCTGGTCTACCAGTTACCCCAAACATGGACCGCAACCTCACTTGCAAAGTTGTGAGTTCTTGCCATTTATTCCATACTAAATCCACTACTGTATGTTGGAGAAACTAAAGCAGCTTTTTCCCTCTTTCCATCCCAAACTGAGTTTACCACCTCTGACAGCAAAGCTGGTTTCTGCTGCCGCTGGGGTTGGAGGGGGAGGGAGAGGTTGGGAGTAGCTGCAGGCAAGGTGACAGGTTCCTGCTGTTCTTACCTGAATCTCCAGCAATTTTTCAAGAATAAATGCTTCTCAAATTATTGTGTTGCCTTGATTGACTTCCAGTGTGATGGAATAGTTATTTTTGTTAATATTTTCGAATTTTATACTTGTTTTCTGAGAAGGAGAAAAACTCGACCTCTTTAAATCACTCTAACAGGAAGTCCTCTTTCTCACATTGGTTTTGGGAGAATTAAATGAGTTTATTTATGTAACCTGCTTAGAAGTACCTAGAATAGTAGCACTACCAGAGTTGGCTGTTACTACTACAATTTTTATTCACTGTACTTTTGCTGTGTGTTCTAGGAATTAGGGATACAGTGAAAAACAAAAGAGACAAGAATCCCTACCCTCATGAAAGAGGGAGCAGGGGTTAGGAGCAGGATTGCAATCTTAAATAAGGTGGACAGAAAGGCTTTACTGAGAAAGTGATAATTTCAATAAATACATGAAGGATGTTAGAAAGAGCTTTGGGGAGGTCTGGGGTAAGGGGTGGGGAAATAAATTTTCAGACAGAGGAAATGGCCAGCACAACATCTGGGAGGTGGAGCTTGTCTGACATGCAAGCAATGACAAGAGGTGAGGGAAATTGGGCAAGTGGGAACAACGTAGGCAATGCAATGAATGGGTAAGATGATGCCGCATCACTGGTTTTGGCCCTAGAGAGATAGGAGGCCGAATGTATGATCTTGAAGAAAAAAAATAAAATGGTCTGAACCAAAGTTTTAAAAGGATCACTCTGGATGCAGAATGGAAAATGTTCTGTTTGGGAGGCAGAAATGGAAACAAGGAGGCTGAAAAGGAGGCTATTGTTTATAACCCAGAAGAAAGATGAGGCCTTAGACCAGGTGGTAATGATGGAGGGAGAAGTGTCTAAATTCTGAGTAAATAAAGAAGGTGGCTTGAACCAGTCCACGTGAATAGGAAGAGAAAGCAAAAAGAGACGGATTCTGGATATGTTTGTAAAGTGGAAATGATAGGATTTGTTAGGTTAGATGTGGAGTATGAGTCAAGAGTCAACAACGATGCTAGAGT